GTCTGGGCGACAGAGTGAGACTCCAACTCAAAAAAAAAAAAAAAAAATTATCAGACAATTTGTATGAAAAATTATGGACAATTTGTTCCAAATCTGATGTTCTCTCCATGTAGTGAGGGTGGTGTATGAGTAGCCCTCTGTCCCTTCTGTCCCTTTCTTCACAAACCTGCCCTCGGTGCTGGAGCAGTGAAGTCGTGGATCAATAACTATGGTTGTGGCAGCAGGAAAGTACAAGCACACCAGACCCTTAATAACCTTAACAAAACATGTTCCTACAGAGTAGCAGTTCTCAAAGTGGGGTCCCTAAGGCCCTCCGAAGGGTCTGCCAGGTCGAAACCATTGCCAGAACAACACTAAGATGTGATCTGCCCTTTTCACTGGGCTGCTGTATGCACTGACAGAGCAGGAGCCCCCAGTGAGTGAAGCCACTTGGAACCGTGGCCCCATCAAGGCAACAGCACCAAACTCCAAACATACTCATAGTAAACACATCTGTCCACTTAAGAGTGTCTTTGATGCAGAAAAATAATAATTTCACTAAATTCTGAGGTATGAGGAAAGGTATTTTTGTATTCTATGTGACAAAACAAAATAGTGCAGACAGCTCTTCTGCTGCACACAAGTGCATTCACTGGTTCTCTCAAGGAAATGCACCTGTGCAATTGCTGTAGCTATGAGAAGAGCCAGCTGCTTTTTTCACAGAACACCATTTCTACTTGAAATACTATAATTGTTCAAACTTGGGTATTTGACAGACATTTTCTTGGCAAAGCCTCCACCAACAACCACTGGGAGAGGAGAACCTATTCAGTAAACGGTGCTGGGAAAACTGGCTGACCAAATGCAGAAAATTAAAACAAGACCCCTACCTGTCACCATACACAAAAATCAACTCCAAATGGATCAAAAGCCTAAATGTAAAATTTCAAACTGTAAGAATCTTAGAAAACTCAGGAGACACCCTTAAAGAAATTGGAATAGGCAACCAATTCCTGATAGACAAGAGGGACCTCATCAAACTAAAAAGCTTTTGCAAAGCAAAATAAATCATCAAGAGAGTGGGGAGACAGCTCACAGAATTGGAAAAAATATTTGCCCACTGTATATCAGGCCTAACATCCAGGATCTACAAGGAATTCAAATATGCCAAAAGGAAAAAAACAACCCTATCAAAAAGTGGGCAAAAGATATGAATAGACACTTCTCAAAAGACGACATATGAGCAGCCAACAGATACATGAAAAAATGCTCAGCCTCGACATTTTATCAAAAAACAAACAAGCGCACACACACAAAAAAAACCCACAAAAAAAACCATCTGTCACTTCTGTCAAGGAAACCATCTGTCACGGGAAAACAAGTGATGGCATTTGATGCTTTCAAGTGAGAATTAGAGCTTTGAAAACTTTTATCAGTCCCTGTGAACTTGACAAGATTCCCAGAAGTTATAGACTTTTCAGAATGATGGTGGCATTGACAAGGGTACTTTTAAAATATCATATTATCAAGGCCAGGTGCAGTGGCTCACGCCTATAATCTCGGCACTTTGGGAGGCTAAGGTGAGAGGACTGCCTAAGCCCATGGGTTCGAGACCAGCCTGAACAACTTGGCAGACCTCATCTCTACAACAAATCAAAAAATTAGTCAGGCGTGGTGGCGTGTGCCTGTTGTTTCAGCTACTTGGAAGGCTGGGGCGGAAGGATCCCCTGAGCCCAGCAGGTCAAGGCTGTGGTGGCCATGAGTATGTCACTGCACTTCAGCCTAGGCAACACAGTGAAACTCCAACTCAAAAAAAAAAAAAAAGTGTATATATATATGTATATATATATATATACATATATATATTGCATGATCAAATGTGTTAACATTTGGAAAATCTGCATCACTCTGTGAATGGTGTCTTCCAAGTGACCAATACACCATGTTACAAAATCATGTAGGGGTAAAGGAGATTTTAATGTGAGAGAGAAGAAAAAGTTCATCCATATGATTTCAGATGCCACAGTGTAACTAACTTTTAAGGAATTACCATTTGTCATTTGTAATTGCAACCTTTAGAGAAACTACCATTTGTCAATTTGAGGATATCAGTAAAGGATAATATTCACAATTATCTGAAAAGGTTATCAAAACACTCCTCCCATTTCCAACTACATGTCTGTCTGAGGCCAGATTTTCTTTATATACTTCAATCAAAACAACATATTCCAACAGATTGAATGCAGAATCCAGCTGCCTTCTATTAAGCCAGACATTAAAGAGGTTTGTAAAATTATAAAGCAATGCCACTCATCTCACTTGTTTTAAAAATACAGTCATTGCCGGGCTCGGTGGCTCAGCCTGTCATCCCGCGCCTTTGGGAGGCTGAGGTGAGTGGATTGCCTGAGCCCGCGGGTTCGAGACCCGCCTGGACAGGCGAGACCTCACCTCTATAATAAATTAGCCGGGTGTGGTAGCATGCACCTGTAGTTCCAGCTACTTGGAAGGCTGAGGCGGAAGGATCGCCAGAGCCCAGCAGGTCGAGGCTGTGGTGGCCGGAAGCGGCCACTGCACTCCAGTCTGGGCGACAGTGAGACTCCAACTCAAAAAAAAAAAAAAAAAAAAAATACAGTTATTTTACAAAACATGTCATTTATGTTAACATATTTGGGCTTATTATTTCAAAATAAAATTAATATTTTAAAATTTCTCAGTTTTATTTTCTAATGGTATAGTTGACAGATAAAACCCATATTAATTAAAGCGCTCTGGGGTCCTCTTTATAAGAGTATAAAGGGGTTCTGTGACTAGAAAGCTTGAGAACTGCTGCTAGAGAATATTTGTAATAGGCCAGTCTTGGGTCAGTGGGACTGAGAGTCACTCAACTAACAATTGCTGAATTTGTACAGTGCACTGGGAGTGAAGGTTACAAAAGGAAAAGAAAGCATTGTGCCACCAAGGAGTTCAGCTTAGCCGGCAGACACACAATAAAACAAATAAAACAGAGTTGATCATAATGCCACATGTGCAGTGGGAAAGGCATGGCTTTGAAGCAGAGCCTTGTTTGAAAGTGAGCCATGCTGGGCACGAGCTTGCATTCTCGAGGTTCAGTTTCTTCGTTATTTGCTTGAGGAGGACAACATAGGGCTTTACGCACTGCTACAAGGATTAAGTCAAATTACAAGTCTGAGCCGGGGGCTGTGCACCATGCTGCCACCAAACTCTTTCTCCTGGGCCACTGCCTGTCTCATAGGTCATCTCATACAGGCCAGGTGGCTAGTGATGAGTTTTCCATCCATTGAAATCACTGACTTTTGTCCTCAGTTATGATGGGATGTGCTTGGCATCAGTCCTACTAACCCTTGGAGAAATTAGGAATGATAATGACCTCTTTTTAAGTAGAAGTAATACACAACAGCAGGCCAACTCTTTAGTCAGAGATGAAGACGCTCATAAAACATGAAGAGAGTCCATGAAAGAAAATGTTGCAAATAATAACTGAGATTATAAGGGGACTATGATCAAGAATACAAGCGACTAAAAATACTATTATAAATAGAGTTTTTCCAAATGTAAGAAGGCAAGTGCCAAAAATAATTCTGAAAATAATTTTACCTGGTCTAGATCCAGAGAAGAATAAACGATTTTCCCTTTGTCATCTCCAGAGAACAATTTCATTCCATTGGGGCTCCAAGCCAGAGCTGTAATGCTATTTTTGTGAATACCAGTGACATCAAATCTCCGAAGCTATGAATAAATGACAAAAATACACACACAAAAAAGAAAAGGTAAATACTGTGAGCTGGGACGTGAGGACAGGGCAAGATACAATCACTCCTATTTATGGATGAGCTGGTTTCCCCATTTTGTCTTCAACGCAGAACCCTGAACAAAGTTTCATGTGTCTGTTTGCCTTTGAAACCCACAGAGAAGACTCCACTAGGCAGAAATGAAATCACCCACATGTGCTTTATGCCAAGTGTTCAATCAGGAATAAGAATATTATCCAATTATAAACCGTTAGCTTTCCTGAGAATAAATTTTCTAAGCAGATGAGGATTTCTCATTTTAAAATCCATGAATAATTTGTCAACAAGTTAAGAAGTGCTAAAATGAGTCATACTTACCTGTTTATTTCTCCCTGGCAGTGAAGATACAAGCTGAAAGACGGCAACCCTGCCAGAGGCGGTGCCTGCTGCCACCAGGTCATCAAAGCAGCTCAGCAGCTTCACCACAGTGATGGATTCTGTTTTCCCCTACAAGAGGCAACATTCAACACAAATGGATCTGTAACCAGGCAGACTTTGAAAACGCAAAACAAGGAAGACATTAGCAAAGGAATGGAAGACTTCATCTGGCTGCAGCTTGCATATATTCATTTTAATTTTTAAAGTTAAACAATTTTTTCTAGAGACAAGGTCTCACTGTCACACAGGTTGGAGTGCAGTGGCACAATTGTAGCTCACTGCAGCCTCAAATTCCTGGGCTCAAGCCACCCTTCTCACCCTCTCAAGTGGCTGGGACTACAGACACTCGTCACCATACCCAGCTGATATATATATTTTTTGAATCAGAGTCCCTCTGTTGCCCAGGCTGGAGTGCAGTGGTACCCTCACGGCCACTGCAGCTTCGATCTGCTGGGCTCCAGCGATCCTTCCACTTCAGCCTGCCAAGTAGCTGGAACTACAGGTGTGCACCACCATGCCCAGATAATTTTTTGACTTACCGTAGAGACAGGGTCTCACCATGTTGCCCATGCTGTTCTCAAACCCATGGGCTCAGGCAATCCTCTTGCCTTCCCCTCCCAAAGTGCTGAGATTATAGGTATGAGCCACCATGCCTGGCCCCAGCTATTAAAATTTTTTTTTTTGTATAGATAAGGTCTTACTATATTGCCCAGGCTGGTCTCAAACTCCTGGGCTTAAGTGATCCTCCCACCTTGGCCTCTCAAAGTGCTGGAATTACAGGTGTGAGCCACCATACCCAGCTCACCATACTGTTTTCCATAGTGGCTGCATCATTTTACATTCCCAACAAAGGTGCGCAAGGGTTCCAGTTCCTCATATCCTCGTCACTTGCTATTTCCTGTTTTTTAGATATATATGTCATCCTAATAGGTGTGATGTGCAGTTTGGCTTTGCAATGCCCTAATGATTAGTGATGTTCAGCATCTTTTCATATGCTTATTGGTCATCTGTTATCTTCTCTGGAGAAGCATCTATTTTCACGTTCTTTGCCCTTTAAGACGTCCATTCTACTCAAGGCAATCTACAGATTTAATGTAATACCCATTAAATTGCTAGCAGCATTCTTCTCAGACCTGGAAACGACCATACAGGAATTCACATGGAAACATAAACTACCATGAATAACCAAAACAATCCTCAGCCCAAAAAAAAAAAAAAGTAGGAGGTATCACACTCCCAGACTTTAAACATTATTATAAAGATACAATAACCGAAACAGCCTGGTATTGGTACAAGAACAGGCACACAGACCAATGGAACAGGATAGAGATTCCAGAAGCAAAACCTCAATTTCTCAACCAAGCCTCCATCACCAACCACCAGGGAGAGGAGAACCTATTCAGTAAATGGTGCTGGGAAAACTGGTTGATCACATGCAGAAGAATGAAACAGGACCTCTACCTATCACCATATACAAAAATCAATTCTAATTGGATCCACAAACTGGGGAAAAATATTTGCCAACTGTATATCTGACAAAGGCCTAACATCTAGGATCTACAAGAAACTCAAATGTGCCAAAAGTTAAAAAAAAAACAGTCCCATTATGAAGTGGGCAAAAGGTATGAATAGACACTTCTTGTTTTTTTTTTTTTTTTTTTTGAGTTGGAGTCTCACTCTGTCGCCCAGACTGGAGTGCAGTGGCACGCTCCTGGCTACCACAGCCTCGACCTGCTGGGCTCCGGTGATCCTTCCGCTCAGTCTTTCGAGTAGCTGGAACTACAGGCGCGCGCTACCACGCCCGGCTAATTTTTTTGATTTATTGTAGAGATGAGGTCTTGCCAAGTTGCCCAGGCAGGTCTCGAACCAGCGGGCTCAGGCAATCCACTCACCTCAGCCTCCCAAAGCGCTGGGATTACAGGCTGAGCCACTGAGCCTAGCTTCTTATTTTTTAATGTATGCATGTAAAGTTATAAATTTTCCCTTTAGCACTGTTTTTGCTGGATGTCATAAATTTTGATATGTTGTATTTTCATTGTCATTCATTTAAAAATAAATTTAAAAAATAAATTTCCCTTGCAATTTCTTTGTTGATCCACTAGATGTTTAACAATGCATGGCTTAATTTACACGAATCTGTAAATTTCCCAGTTTTCCTTCTGTTACTGATTTCTTTTTTCCTTTTTTTTTTGAGTTGAAGTTCACTCTGTTGCCCAGGCTGGAGTGCAGTAACATGCTCATGGCTACCGCAGCTTCGACTTGCTGGGCTAAGGTGATCCTTATGCCTCAGTGTTCCAAATAGCTGGAACTAGAGGCATGTGCCACCATGCCCAGCTAATTTTTTTGATTTATTGTAGAGATGCAGACTCGTCACGTTGCTCAGGCTGGTCTCAAATCCCTGAGCTTGGGCAATCCTCTTGCCTCCACCTCCCAAAGTGTTGGGATTACAGGCATGAGCCACTGCACCCAGCCTGTTACTGATTTCTAACTTTATTCTGTTGTGGATGCAATGAGAAGATATTATGAATGATCTGCATATTTTTCAATCTATCGAGTCCTAATATGTGACCTAACATCTGTTCTTTCCTGGAAAAGTCCCCTGGGTATTTCAGAATGTTTATACTATTGTTGTTGGATAGAGTGTTCTGTTTATGTCTGTTAGATCTAGTTGATTTATCATGTTAAGTTTTCTTATTGCCCGGCGCAGTGGCTCAAGCCTGTAATCCCAGCACTTTGGGAGGTCAAGGCAAGAGGATTACCTGGGCTCAGGGGTTCAAGACCAGCCTGGGCAACTTGTTCAGACCTCATCTCTACAATAAATAATAATAAAAAATAAGCTAGGCACAGTAGCACACACTTGTATTTCCAGCTACTTGAAAGGCTGAGGTAGAAGGATCTCCTGAGCACAGTAGGTTGAGGCTGCAGTGGCCGTGAGCAGAGTGCCATTGCATTTTAGACTTGGTGACAGAGTAAGACTCCCACTCACACACACACACAAATTTCCTTATTTATCTTCTGTCTGATTTTCCTATCCATTATTGAGAGAAAGTCTATAAAGTTTCCAACTGTTTTTTCTAGAACTATTTCTCCCTGCAATTTTGTAACCTTTTCTGATGTAAAGTCTGGTATTAGCCACTCCTGCTTTCTTTTGGTTACTATTTGCATAGAATATCTTTTCCCATCCTTTTACCAAACCTATGTTTGTCTTTGGATCTAAAGTGAGTCTCTTGTACATAGCATATAGCAAGATTATGTTTCTATACGTATTTTGAGTTTCTGTCTTGATTGGAGAGTTCAATCCATTTACATTTGAAGTAATTACTGATAAGGAGAGACTTATTTCTGTCATATTGCTATTTGTTTTATATGTGCCTTATAGTTTGTTTTTGTTTTTTTTTGAGTAAGACTCATTCTGTCATCTAGGCTGGAGGGCAGTGGCACACTCATGGCCACCACAGCCTTGACCTGCTGGGCTCAGATGATTCTTCCACCTCAGCCTTCCAAGTAGCTGGAACCACAGGTATGAGCCACCACATCTGGCTAATTTTTTTATTTATTGTAGAGACGAGATCTTGCCAAGTTGCCCAGGCTGGTCTCCAGACTCAGACAATCCTCTTGCCTCCGCCTCCCAAAGTGCTGGGATTACAGGTGTCAGCCACCATGCTCAACATATAATATTAGCTTTTAATAGTTAGCCATGTACTTACCTTTATCGAGATCTTCATTTCTTCATATGGCTTCAAATTATTGTTTAACGTCCTTTTATTTCCCTCTGCAGTACTCTCTTAAGTATCTCTTATAGGACAGGTGAAATTCCTCCATTTTTGTTTACCTGAGAATGTCTTAATTTCTTCCTCGCTTTTGAAGGACAGTTTTGCTGGATATTAGATTAGTTGACAATTTTTGTTCTTTTGGCACTTTGAACATATCAGCCCACTGACTTCTGGTCTTCAGTTTCTGATGAAAAATCTGATTTTTCTGAGTTGCAGTCTCACTCCATTGCCCAGGTTGGAGTGCAGTGGCACACTCACAGCTATCCCAGCATCGACCTGCTGGGATCCAGCAATCCTTCTGCCTCAGCCTTCCAAGTAGCTGGAACTACAGGTGCGCGCTACCGTATCCGGCCAATTTTTGATTTATTGTAGAGACGAGGTCTTGCCAAGTTGCCTGGGCAGGTCTCAAACCTCCCAAAGTGCTGGGATTACAGGCTGAGCCCCCAAGCCCGGCCTGGAAAAAAAACCTGATTTTATCTTTTTTTTTTTAAGATATAGGGTCTCGCTCTGTCACCCAGGCTGGAGTGCAGTGGCACAATCATAACCCACTGCAGTCTCGACTTCCTGGGCTCAAGCAATTCTCCTGCCTCAGCCTCTCAAACAGCTAAGACTACAGGTGCACACCACCAATGCTTGGCTAATTTTTTTCCCTTTATTGCTAGAGACCGGGCCTTACTATCTTGCCAAGACTGGCCTTAATTTCCTAGCCTTAAGTGATTTTCCCACCTCAGCCTTCCAAAGAATTGGATTACAGGCATGAGCCACTTTATTATCTTATTGAAGTTCCCTTGTGTGTGAATGAGTCATTTCTCTCTGGCTTCTTTGAAGATTCTTTCTTAGGCTCTGGGTTTTGGAAGTTTAATTATAATGTGTCTTGGTATGGGTCTCTTTGAGTTTATCTTACTTGGAGCTAAACTTGTTACATGTTTATATTCATGTCTCTCATCAAATATGGGAAGTTTCCAGACATTATTTCTTCATATATTCTCTCTCTCTTTTCCTTCAATAACTCCCACAAAACAAATGTTAGTCTGCTTAATGATTTCCCAAAATTTCTTAGGTTCTATTATTTATCTTTAAATTTTCTCCTGTTTCTCAAACTGGGTAATTTAAATTGTCCCATTTTCAAGTTTGCTGATTCTTTCTTCTGCATGCTCAAACCTACCTTTGAATCCCTCTGGTGAATTTTTCACCTCAGTTGTTGTACTTTAAAACTCCAGAATTCTTATTGGTTTCTTTTGTGTATGTGTGTGTGTGTTGGAGTCTCACTCCATTGCCCAGACTGGAGTGCAGTGG